GTCTGTTGTTGTTTTTTTGCACACTGCCTGTTGTTGTTTTTTGCACATTGTCTGTTGTTGTTTTTTTGCACACTGCCTGTTGTTGTTTTTACACACTGCCTGTTGTCTCTGTCTTTCTTTTGTTATACAATTGTATTGCTGTTGTTGTTGTTTTTTTTTCTTGTACTACTTATGTCCGAGAGCTAGCTAAATAGCTAAAAAAAATCGCTGTCATTAAAAATCACAGGGCATTTCTCAAAAGGGGTGTTAAATTTTCGAGTACGGATGGTTAACCCCAGTGTCCTGGCCAAATTTCGCATGGGCCTTTATGGCTGCCGTCACATTATCCAGGTGGGGCTGCAGACTGGTGGTGGTGGTATAAGTGTAAGGAATTATTATTATTGCTATTTGGCTGACGCTTTATAGCCAAAGTCTCTTAAAAGGCACCCATTCAAACAGCTGGGAATTTGACTGGAACAACTCGGGTGAAGTCATCTCACTCATGGGTAGCGTCTCACGTGGGATTCGAACCTACAACCTTCCGGTTCCCAGTCCAGAACCCTAACCACTGCTCCATCTTACCATCCAGATCGCTCTCAAAGGTCTCCGCCGTGGCCCACTCAGTGGGGGGGCCGGTGCCGTTCCCCGTCATGGCTGCCACACGGAACGTGTACTCCGTTCCTCGCTCCAGGCCTGTAAAGACATTCAAGCAAAGTTCACAGGGCCTGAAGCAGAGCGGTGGGTGACAGCTACAGAAGTGTCCCGTTTACACAACAGTTCAGTGAATGGACTCAACGGGAAAGGAAAATAAAGCAGAGCAATGCCTTTCATTTTCTAAAGGAAACCACAATCAGGAAATCAAAGCAACTAGTCAGTCGGCATTAGATCACACCAACTGTCTTCTGCACTTGCCACTTAATTATTTCCTTGATTCCAGCCCCTTGATATCAAGGTGTTTATACTTGTTTCTGTTCCGGCTGACATTTAGCTGCAGATGAAATCCAGCTGCCAGGAGGTTTGGAAGGAAAAAGGAAACAACTGTCACACAAGCCACAGGTTAAGCGCTGTGCAGTTAAAACATGATGCATAAACATACTGCACACTCCCTCGACATTTTCCAGCATTCAGCTTTATACGTTCTGTATTTTATTCGGATCCATGGGAATCAACAATCAAAGATGGAAATAAAGAGGATGATCAGGAGGAAGGCTCCATTGGAATTCTAAAGGAAAAACTCCCAATATCGATGACTTTGATACTCATGGGATGTGACGGACAGTCTAGTATTTGAGAGTTCAGATTATTTGGATCTTTGCAACGTGTGCCAGATCCAGCAGTTGCAGTTTGAAGTGATAAGTGAGAGGAGTTTGTCGCTATTAACAACAGCCTCTGTTCTGTATCTTGGTGAAATGCAATTTATGTACCAGTTCAAGTTGAAAGGCTAATTATCAGCAATGATATTCCAGTAAATAAGGTCCTACTACACACAGCCTGTTCACAAATGAGGCGGAAACTTCACATCTTTCAGCACAATTCCCCACTTAGCATGTTTTCTTTGCCCTTCTTTGAAAATGCATTTAAAATGTGATATTAATAAATGTAATTATTCTTTTTGAGCTAAGCAGCTTACACCCCCAGGCTGTTGTTGAAGTGAATAAGTGTTACAAAAGAGAGGTTAAGGCAGGAGGCAGGAGCTTGCTGTGCTGCTCTGAGTCTTTTTCTGAACAACTGTCTCAGAGCTAAGAGCTAGACTCCCACTGGTAATGCAAGAAGAACTGCAGCTCTTCTGGGATGGATGGAGGGATCACAAAGAATGGGAAGGAAGACAAGTCTACTGATAATATTATTATGATAATTTGTTTCCCGGATTCAAAAGAGTGTATGAGCTCCGAGAATCTCCCATTCACAGGTTTTTTTCCTTCCTCACTCTGAAAAGATTTCCTTCACTTTTCTCTCAAGGAATAAATAACTTCCCCTGCAGAGGACCGGAAACTAAATATCTAAATAATGCTAAAAGCGACTTTGCCCTCTTTACCCTACTTGTTGCCTCAGTAGTTTCCTGCTATTCGGGGACTTTAACTAAAGACAATAAGCTAACACTAAATGCCATTCAAGGAATTGTTTACTGCATCTTCCGGAAAATACTAGACCAGCAACTAAACAACAAACCTACCTGTGCCTAGTTCTTATTTTGTTTTCAACACCCTGTTAAAGCTTTCTGAACATTTGCCAAACCTTTTACTTTTTGTTATTTTTGAACCTTTTAAATTTACCATTATTTTTGGCTTGAAATCATTAAAAAACACTTGTTGTGAAGAAAAGGCTCTGTGTTAAACTTGTGAAAGACAGAACAACCTTTTCTAAAAAATGGGAGTGAGATGAGGCCTATCACAGAGGACAAAAACTACTGGATGCCCAGCATTCTGATTTCCACTGCCTGAAAGCTCATACTGTCCTTCACACCAACTCGTCCTTCTGACTACGGCTCTACAATAGGGGACCACTTGTGCTTGGAACAAATGATAGAAACTGGCATTCCTGAACCAACAATTGAAAATAAATAAAGATTCCTTCAAAGGAGAGAACCTCCACTAACTAACAGAACTTCAACATACGTCTGACAAATTCAAAGCAAACTGATGTAATGCATATCATCAGAAATCATTAGCTACTGTGCATGGACCTGTCTGTATTTTATTCCAGCGCTGGCTAGTATGTACTGTTGTGCTCAACACAGAACTAAAGGCAACATGGATGTTACTGGAATCTTGACTAACATCTCAAACGTCTGTAAACTTGAGATTCTGCCCACAGTGCGCTTTTTAAATTCAAACTTATGAGAAAGCCTGCTGTCTTTAAATACAACATATCTATGGTAATGGCTTTAAAATATTAATAAATCTCTGATTTGCTGCTGTTTGAATGTTAAATGCAAATGCTGTCATGGCCCTTCAGCTGTCCCTAAGGCCACCGCTGAGAAAATACAAGACAATCTTCCTCTAGGGCTCATATTCTGGTTAAATGCCTTTGAACTAAGAAAACATCTCTTCCTTTTCTCCCCAAATATAATCGGAATCAACTTTTAAGTGCGTATTCTCTTTGATGCCGCGCTGTGTGGTATCAGACTGTAAGAAACGTAAAAATTTGCTGAGCTAGCATTTAAAATTTAATGTTTCCAAGCTAATGCAGCAACATTTCTCTTTACTATCAAGAAACTTGTTGAAGAAAGAAAAAAGTAAAAGTAACTTGGAAATAAAAAAAGATCAAAGGACCAACAGACGGGAGCTGTGACTTAAATTCCCTACATCTTACAAGAGACAGCCAAATCTCGCAAATCCGGCACTTAACACTAATAATTACAACTACAGACTATTTGTAAAATGGAAAAATTGGGCATTTCAAGGACCCTTCTAGTAATAATCTGACTATTACCACGTGGTTTAGCACACCACAGTATTTCAGAAAATGTTTTTCTAGCCTAGTGCAGAATTGGGAAGGTTCCCAAGCCACTGAACCAGTGAGGACACTCTCGCAGAGATCACCACGTCCAGCTCCTAGCCCACTGTGACCACCATCAATACAACCAAGCGCTGCCGGGGCATTGTGGGCATGAGAGGGTGTCGTCAGCTCCTGCAGAAAAGGAGACCCATACGACTTGCCTATCTAAAAACAGCGGGCGCTGGAGGGCTAGCTGTGTCGGAGGGCGAACAGCTTGGGCAGATATGCTGAACGAATAGCTTGTTGGAGCTGCTCACTCTGCATAGGTTGGGGCTGGAAGTGAGTGACTGTAGATTTCAGATTTTCTGGGTATATAATAAGTCTTTGTGATTCCAAATTGAAACAAATACACTGCTATTCTTTAGCGCTTCCCAAAGCACGCATTAGCTATTTCTATATACCTGCAAGTGGAAAAAAACAACAACAACCTTCTGATGAGGTCTTTCAGCTCTGTGTAATAGCATGCTCACATATACAGAAAACATCATCATCATCCTTTACAAACAGCCCCCAAGCAATACAGCATGAATGTACTGCATGGATCCTGCTGCACAGCCTAAATGGCTAGAGAAATAGCCAATAAATAACGTGCGCCACACACTCCACAATGGATTAGTAAACGAGATCTGTTATCATTAATAACTATTCACTGTTGCTGTCGTTCCTTTTTGGGAGACAAATCAGTATGCGCCGTACGAGTAGAAAATATTGTGTTTTCTATCAGTAATGTGGGACAAGGAGTCTTTCCATGGCCTGATGGGTATCGATTGCCTTCAAGGAAAATGACAGGAAGATGCATCTTTATTTCTGTTGTTCAAAGTCAAGGAGTGGCAAAATGACGCCCTGAGGTAACAGAGGAAGTGGGTTAGCTCGGTCCTGGATGGGACCCAGGCGATGAAGAACACACCTTCTATAAGTTGTGAGAGCAGCACGCCAACTGTCGTTTCGGAAATCTCACTCTTTCGGGCGCCTTTCCGGTACCGGATCTTATACCCAATGATCTCCCCGTTGTGGGTGCCAGGGGGTGGGGGCTGCCACTGGACCATAATGCCCTGGGGGAGAGAAGACACACAAAAAAGACGATCAGTTGGCACTCCAGCTCTGAAGCGCCTCCTTCTTAAACCTTGTCTTCTTGACCTGCGGGGAGAAGACAAGGACGAGGCAAGCCTGAGCGAATCGCTGCCTCTCTGAACACACACACAGAGCGGTCTGTGAGAGCAGCGGGTGAGAGTTCTGAGGTTACTATTTAGTAGAGAGCACAAATGGGGAACGTCACAATGGTCTTGTCAGAAGGGAGCCCTACGAGACTGGAAACTGGAGAGGATCTGCCATGTTTTGGTAAAACTCCGTAAAGTTGGCAAGTGAATGGAGCTGGCAGAGAGAGTTAAGGGCGCATCTTGCTTCTCTGGGCTCAGAGACTTAGAAAACATCTGCTGAGGAAGCTAGTCTGGGCATACTGAAGGTCATTAATAGGTGTCCGGCCCTTCTCGCTCAGCAGCAAGCTATGACTGAGGAAGTGGACAATGTACTAAAAAGGGGTGGGATGAGAAAGAGAAGTCCTACAAGGTTCAGTTCCTAATGAGAACGTAAAAGACGTCACTGCAGGCCGTAATTCATGCCAACAGCTTATCAACTCACTAGGCGGAGCTCTTTTTTCCCCAATTCAACAAAAGATCTAAAACTCCTGGTTCTTACTAATCGTTGTTCTGATACAAGGTTTCCTTGCAAGGGATTCTGTGCATGATCGCCAGGGAGCAAGAAATACAAGCCACGGATGAAAACCTCAGGCCTCAGCAGACGGCGTGGAAATAGAGAGCAGCAAAACTAACGACACATTATCACGGTGGAATGTGACAAACCGCCTTTTTACACTGTTTTACTCCACAAGTGACTCTGAAAGTGCCGTGCATCCGTCTACATAAAGTATATACGTATTTATAGGTTCCTTGCTGCAAAGAGCATTCGGAGACCTATAAAGCTCTGCATTAATAAATAAATGAATAATAAATAATGCTCCTGGAGTTACCCTGATTCAAGCAGGCTCGCACTGCAGGACACTAGGAAAAAACTGAAGTCGTTTTCTTGCTGGAGGCACACTAGCTTACAGGGGGAGCTGCTCACAGTGTGGTAGAGGAGTTAATTAATGGTGCCAACAGACTCTCGGTCTGAGTCAGGGGAACAGCACAAAATTAAATCTTCAGTAAGCGTGATCAATTAGTTTATTTCCATTTATTTCCCCCACTCTGGATTAACCAGCTTTATCCTCCCCCCTCCCCCGTGCTGTGCGTTTGTAAATCACAAGGCAGCAAAAAGAAATGAGTTGTAATAACAAAGAAGTGAACTTAAGAAAGACGAGTCAATGTGCCTGGCGGAGACAAACATCACCGTCAAAGGCATTTTTATGGTTTCCAACTTAAGCTGCTTTAAAAGGTAACAACAGTGGGAAGGAGCATGTTAAAACTTTGCCCAGGAAGGAATGAAATAATCTGAGCTACAAGGCAGAACCTTCCAGAACTGTGTAAAAAGTACTTTTATGTCCTGCATTATGACCTAATCTTTAATGTATTTGAGGTTGTAAATACTCTGTGCTAAATATAGTTTTCTGTTTGGAAAAAAACAATAATTCATTAATAAGTAAAGTAGGCAATTACCAGTCTGCTATTTGAGCCATCATAGTTATTTTCCATTTTAATTTTTCCAGTCACTGTATGGACTTTGGGAGGACAGAATACAGTGGTCAAAGTAAAACCTCAACAAACAATATTTATTGAGAAGGTAGAATACTCCTCTTCTCTTCAAAAAACAGAAGACAGTAACTCAAAAGAGGGAATAGGCCCTCTGTCTAGCCAAGTAATAGCTGAGCAGTTAAGACAGGCAAGCAAATAATCCTCTGGCCCAGAATTAATTACCAAGTACCTTTAAAATAGAGTCTCTTACCTTGGAGTTGCGCACTTCCAGTGAAAAGTTCTGTGGAGGAGCACTTGGGACTGAGCATTTAAAAAGCAAACATAAAAAGAAAAGATCAGTCAAAAGAATTCTAACACTGAAGACAAGTTTTAGCTGAAAATAATGCTGTTCTCTGTAGTCAAGCCTAAGATAGTATGTGACAGCAAACTTGAAAGGAGGTACTACTTCTTTAGCAAGAGCGTGAATGTCTCACAGTCAATGTCTCATGTGTGCCATTTTGTCAGCTGAATTAAAGCATATAAAGCATGTATAAAGACAGACTTTTTGTGAGCTTGCGGTCTATTGAGTGATGCACTGCAACTTCAACATGTAGAAGGGTTTTATTGATCACCTTTTCATTGAAGTTGCTAATAATTACAAAATAAACAAATACAGCAATACGAAATAAAGAGTTATTATTAAAAGCCAAAAATGCAAAAAGAGATTCACAGGTGCAAATCAATTTCCTGTCAAAAACCAAGTGCAAATCGATACCTTGTATGACGGAAGAAATATGACATACCCTGAAGCACCGTCTTAAAACAAACAGCTACATCACTCTGACAGCTCCGAGGTGAGCTCTTATTCTTAAATGAAAGGAGGTTCTGAAGTTAATGTTGCTAAAGACATTGCAATTCAAACTAGACAGCTTGTCTAATTGCATGGGATCATTTATAAAGATTAAGCTCATTTTCATGTTAAGTGCATTTTAAAGTACAACTGATAGAGACAAGTGATTTAAAATGCAGAAGTGTTTGATTAGCATCCCACCGCCTCTGATACGTTCATGTCTGCCACAAGACACTATCTCCGAGACATGACGGCAGCCTCTGGACCTAAAACTGTCACTCCATCATCCTGGTGGGTAAAGCCATCTTACCACTTGACACAAATGAATGGAGAGATTGTGAAGATACCAGGGAGTGTACAGCACGCTTAGAGCGAAGTAAGTGCTATTTATTATGAAGATCAGGCTGGGACTCTCAATCAAACCGGCAGACATACGAGTGACAATGATCCATCTTCTGTGTTGTTTCTGTGAATGTAGTGTGAGGTCTGTCAGAAGAGGCAACAATTTATTTCAGAAACCTTTTTTTATTGCCACTCATGAAACCATTCCACCTGTTCGTTTTCAGCCTGTGACTGCCTCTTCTTTCCAGTACCACTGCAAGATACTTAAACAACCTCCTCCCTAAAGACTGAAGAGGAATGAGCTCGGCCTCTGCCTTTGGTTAATATACCGGGACATAACTGATATATGTACATACTATGCATTGCACTAACATCTATGTTCTACACCCCCCCCAGAATGCTATGCACAGTAACAACAGATTACTGCGGTGGCATTTTCCAGACGCAGCTTGATTTTTCAGCCTGGAATCAGACCCCTCACCATCAGATAAGGTCTGGGCCTCGACATCTGCAGTGGACACTCCTGGGCCATGCTTGTTATAGGCCACCACCCGAAAGTTGTACTTGGTGTACTTCTTCAGGCCATTCATGGTGTAGGAGAGACCCCCGACGTCTATGTCCTGAAACAGAGAAGAAATGGAGGAACAATCCATTATTGTTACAATCCAGAGCGCTTTTGCTAAATGCATTCAAATCTTGCACAATTTGATAAAGGTTTTGTGCCATAGTGTGTGCCAAAAAATACTGGATGCTTTGAAGCTGCATGTGAGTTTTTATTCCCTGTTTTAAGAACAGTACGGTTTATCTTAATTACTGCAGGGTGTGCTAGTCTAACACTTTAAAGCTGTACCAAATGTGTGCAGTGTTAGAGCCCAGTCAGTCTTCCAGAAACAATCGACATTTTTATATTTACTGATACACATACCTGCTGGTTTCCACTCCAGCCGAGCTTAATTACTTAATTGAAAACTTAATTGAACTAATAAGTTGTTTGATTGGAACCTCTGCCAGTTTTTTTCTTACTCAGAAGTTTGGAATCGTTTGCTTCTGCTGGTTTTCCCACATAGAAAGGCACTCACCTCAGCTCCCCTAATACCTAGAGGTGGCGTGACCCCCAGTTGAGTGTTGTATTGCTCCAATTCTGCCCAAGCAGCCCCACAACAATAATTTAACAACATTATATCGATAATAATACAGCAGAGCAGGAGGAGAAGTGAGAAGCTGCTACACCAATTGAATTAAGGGAAAATGCAGCAGGCAGCAACTCTTGAAATACTGAAGGACCACAATCAAGCCTCTGCCAGTTAAACAGTAGACTCTGCAAACAGAGTGGAGTGTTTACAAACACGCAGCACGAAAATTCTAATTAATTGCCTGATCAGGTTCAATTCCCTGTGAGCAAGGCTTGTTCACCAACACCATTATTGCTTGTTCCCTACCACATCCCCTGGGTCTATTAATTTATTCTAAATACTTTTCTTTAAATACATAATATATTAGCAGTTCCCACCCTCCCATAAAAGCAGCATTGTGAATACTACATCCCTGCACATCCACCTGTGCAAACACAGTCAATTACTCACATTAGCTCTATCTTATTTCCCCCTTTTGTTCTGCCCTCCTGGGACCGGAGACATCATTACTTGAATTATCCATGACATTTCATCTATTATCATATTAAAAGGTTTTTAACTCAGAAGAAACCTCCTCTCTAACTGAGGGCTGAGAGGCTCAATGCACATTAGAGGCTGAGGGCGGTGGGTAATGTCATGAACGGGCCAGTCGTTCTCCAGAGGGTCTGAGAAATGCGTCTGGACTGGCCACTGTCTGATGGAGTTCTGCTTGACCACCCTTGTCAAAGCAGACGATGATGATCAATCACCGTGAGGGAGGGGAGGAGGGAATGGCTGCCGCTTGGGGAAAAAAATACCTATTTTGCTGGGTGTTACATGAAACATAACGCCATTTTTAGGAAATGTAAAGCCGGATGCCACCATGAGAGAAAATTCCAGAGAACCCTGCCATCTTCGTTCCATCTCTTTCTGGTTAGACACTACGAAGCAGGGATGCCAGTCCTAAAGCTCTCAATCAATAATAATAATAATAATAATAATAATAATAATTGCTTACACTTATATAGCGCTTTTCTGGACACTCCACTCAAAGCTCTTTACAGGTAATGGGGATCCCCTCCACCACCCCCAGTGTGCAGCCCCAACTGGATGATGCGATGGCAGCCATAGTGCGCCAGAACACTCATCATACATCAGCGATCAGTGGGGAGGACAGCAGAGTTATGAAGTCAGTTCAAAGAGGGGGATTACTAGGAGGCCATGATTGGTAAGGGCCAATGGGAAATTTGGCCAGGACGCCGGGGTTACACCCCTACTCTTTTTGAGAAAGACCACAGAGAGTCAGGACCTCGATTTTTACATCTCATCCGAAGGACAGCGCCTGTTTACAGTACAGTGTCCCCGTCACTATACTGGGGCATTAGGACCCACATGGGCAGCAGGGTGAGCACCCCCTGCTGGCCCCACTAACACCTCTTCCAGCAGCAACCTTAGTTTTTCCCAGGAGGTCTCCCATCCAGGTACTGACCAGGCTCACACCTGCTGAGCTTCAGTGGGCTGCCAGTTGTGAGTTGCAGGGTGATATGGCTGCTGGCTGCTAAGATGGCAGAGCTGTGCAGATAGGTGCGTTTGATTGAAAAAAAAAAGATCAAAAGCAAAACCTTTGCATGCTTATGGACAGAAGCTCTGTACAGTACTTGGGCTTTTCCTTTTAATACTGCCAACACAAGCAGGAGAGTTCTAGGAAGGTACGGTAATATTTTAAAACAGTGCTTGACAACTTGGATCAGCGCTTCACGAGTCAGCAGTGCGAGTAACATTTTCATATATTAAACACTTGCTAATAATACCATTATCGGTCTAATCTCACAATCTAGACCGAATGCAATTCCTGGTTCTGTTCTCATTCTCCAGAACTGTACTGCACAGCTGAGATGTAAAGAACAAGACTCAAGCACCATTAACTTATTTTTTCTCTGCTGAGGGCGACTGAACTGCTTAGGATGTTAGGACTGTACAGATGCAGAACAAAATCAATAATGGTGTAATAAATAATTTAATGGCAAGGCCACTCTTGACCTCTGAGTCACCCTGCTGGTTTCCCCGCACAGCTGGCCTCTTGCAGCAGATTTCAAGCCAAACTGGACTGCGGAAAAGCTGTGTGGCTCATTGCTGCAACAGCTGTGTGATGTCAGATAACACCCCCCCACCCAAAGATGGCAGAGCTGTGCAGATAGGTGCGTTTGATTGAAAGATAACTGACTTTGTGTGTGCACTACTACTTCAGAGTTCATCAGATGTCACCCAAGACTCCATTTTTATAATTATTTTTTAATAGTCAAAAGTGTTTTCTAAGTCTAAACATTCCCAAATGCTTAGGCTTTTTAAAAATGCATTTGAACTCAACAGAAAAAGTAGGTCTGTTGCATTGGTTGCTCCTAGAAACTCAACAGTCTGAGAATTGCATCTTGACAGTAACAGTTTTACTCCCATTACAACATTTCCCTCCTTTGTCAACAGCCAGATTTAGTTATCTACAAATGCAGCACCTACCACTGTGGCTCTTGTGAAGATTACTAACAACAGCGGGAAGGCTGGGGACTGAGGTCAGCCCGTATATCTGCAGCGCTCCTCCAGGGCAGCACAGCCTCACCTGCTCGCTGTCGGTGCCCTTCTCCATGTAGTAGAGCTTGTAGGCCTGGATCTCGCCGTTGCCCGTGAGAGGCACCTCCCAGCTGACGGCGATGGACGTGGGCGAGGTGGCGATGGCCTGGAGGTTAGGGGCCGGGCCGGGCACTTGCACTGGAAGACAAGGAAACCCGCTTGGGTCGTTCACGCCAAGCCACCAGGACAGCAGCCACTCGCATGATGTTTTCGGGAAACCTTGATGAGTCGACTAGTGCCATCTCGTAATGCTGCTTCCATAAAAAACAAAGCAACTTTTGACAAAGTAGCTGAAAACCGAATACCTCATCTACTGCTTTCTACCCCCAAAATCATCTTTACGCACTCTCCTGACAACAAACAGGCTCAAGTGGCCTGGACTATACGATGCCAGTAATGTTGTCATCAGGGTCAGCAAAACATTCCAGAAAGTTGGTGACCTCGCTGCTCAATCCATATTCCATTTTCCTCTTCTTCTGCTGCAGCATTACCACTTGTAATGGACTTAATTCCAAACTACACTAACCTATAGCACCTTTGAAAACTCAAAAAATAAAAGAAAATTAATTCCTTACGCTGTACATTAAATTTTAAAGACCTGCATGCTGCGCTTGAGGCGAACACTGGAAATGTTTTTCTTGAGTCGTCTGTAGATCACGTACAGCACTTGAAACAGCAATGCGACAAAAACCTGCTTTCCATCGTCGGCTGCAAAGCCAACAGCTGACTGAATTCTTAAAATCATCACTATATGGAAGAAATCTTCAATACGGCACGTATCAATCTTTGTATCCATCTGGAAACTAATGTTGCATAAGCCAATTTCCTCATCTGTTGATTGATTTCTTACCACTCAGATTATTTGGATCATTTTTCAAAAAAAATGAACAGATTGCAACATCACCACACAACAATCCACATTGGGAGGTGTCATGACTTTTTTCAAAGTAAACGACTGTCTTTTTAAACATTCTTGGCACACGAAAGCAGTGAAACGAGAAAAAGGATCATGTATGACTTTTTAGGCATTAAGTCTTCTTAAGTGCATCACACAACACCTAATGTAGAAATGCATCAAGTGTGCATTAGAGAGATCTGGAGCACACCTGAGATATTGATTCTCCCTGCTGGAGCAATGAACCTGGATCCAGCTCAGTCACCCAGAGCACTGTGAAGACTGTCACCAGGCTGAACAGAGCACTACAGCAAGCTGCTTAAAGCTGGCTGTTTCTGCTTGATTTGAAGACGAATATATGCACTGTAATTTTTTTTAATTAGACCTGGTTAACAGAGCAGGGAGAATTGAAAACTGGTGCTTTGTACCTAACAGTTGTTTACTCTGTGGGGTCATGAATCATTACTTTCAATTAACAGCTCGAGTCTCAGCTTACAATGTCTGCAGTGTCAGACTGTGCCGAAGACTGGGGGTGGGTTCCACTTTACCACAAACAGCAAAGTCAAGAGAAGAGTGTTTCACGTATGGTGTGGTTAGTTCCAGCACCTTTAGTGAAAGGTGGGGCTTTGATTCTCACAGTACAACTCTTTTCAGCACGTTTAAGCAGATTTCTGAGTATTTCACTACTGAATTTTTAAGGTCTCTTTCTGCACAGCCCAACAAATGAAAGTATTATTAATTTGACGAACTTTCAATCTGCGCAAGACATGTTCGTTCTGGTGGAAACCACTTTCACATCAGCACCAGGGATATTACCACAATGTCTTTTATCCCACAGCAGAACAGTTATGCAAATTATCTGCTTTCATGGTGTTGGAAGTCTTGCTACTGGTCTTTGCTTTTGCTTTGGCTGCAATCTGTATTTTATTTTTATGAGACTGTGCATCTTTCTTTTTTTGTTTTAATTGTGCAGAACAGCTGCTGAAATCTGAGCTTTTTGCCCTTGGTGATTGAAAAATATGAACATAAAAAGCAGACCTTTTCTTGTCCTCTTGATTTTATTTTGCCAATTTGACTTTAAAGGTTTTGGTGTCAAGTGCAGACAAATGTGCAAACCTTCAAAACAAGATAACAGCATTTTTTGGTTTTGCCAAAACTGTATTCATATGTATCCATCCCTGAAGTCCTGTGTAGTTCCAATGTATCACCACACCTCCTGCAATTAGTCTTCAGCCTAGAGGTTTATTTTAGCAGGAATTTCTGGTTGGAATATTTGGGAAGTGAAGCAATTCAATCAGAAGCAAAACAGCTAAAACAATATGGTGGGATATTCTGAAAGCTAAAAATGGGAAGTTTAGGAAGATACAAATTGGTGTAAGCTTGAGAGCTCAGTCCACCTGCTTTCTTGGGAAGGAGCAGGGCTCAGACAGCAGAGACAGTCTCAGAAGAGTGCTGCTGCAGCTGTGTGTGGAACAGCAGGGAATAGGGTACCCAGATCCAGGTGCTTTTTTGGTACCAGATGGGCTATCTTTCCCTCATTCACAATAACTGAGCTCCACAACAGGGCTGTCAGATACAAATGTTCTGACATCACTCATAGGAACCAGACTCCTGCTGGCACCTTTGCATGCTTATGGAAAGAAGCTCTGTACAGTACTCATGCTTTTCCTTTTAATCCTGCCAACACAAGCAGGAGAGTTCTAGTAAGGTATGGCAATATTTGAAAATGGTGCTTGACAAATTGGATCAGCACTCCATGAGTCAGCAGTGCGAGTAACATTTTCATATATTAAACACTTGCTAATAATATCATTATTGGTCTAATCTCACAATCCAGACCTAATGCAATTCCTGCTTCTTTCCTCATTCTCCAGAGCTGTACTGCGCAGTGCTGTGCGCTGAGCCACTGCGGAAGACTCAGGGAGTTGTAGTGCTGACCCGGAAAACACAGGTTTACAAAGCAGGGAAATCTGTTGGGGCTTAACAGCAGCCATGGCAGGGGAGAGAGAGACAGCCCTGGAATTCCATAATAACCTGGCAGAACACAAGGAGCCCATGACTTTATATTTGCCTATTTCTTACACAGTCATGGAATGGTAATGAAGCTTTCTTTAACATTTCAAATGAGACCTTTTAACTGCTTACAAATTGTGGTTCCTCCAACACTCATCCTACCACTAAAGACAACACAGAGAGGCAGTCAAGCCTTCTCTGAACCTTGCGGTACTGCAGGAGGCAGCTTTGTGGGAAGGTTAGACTGGACTGTGTGGGACAGACTGATGACACGTGAGAGAAAGAATGAAGGAGTACTGGGACCCAAACAGATAAGCAGATGCGAGCGTTCCAGGGTGTCAAAACATTACCTAGAGAAATGAGGTCAAAGAAACTGGAAGATTGTCAAAAATGTGCCTCCTCTCTCCTTATCTACCAAAGGAAAGGCAGCTTGAGCAGTAAAGTCTACAAGCTGCAGAAAACCAGTAACTCCAACACACCATGAAGCCTTCAGGTTTGATGGCAGTTTGCCTAGTGGTAATCTCTCCATAAGCAGCTTGGTGGTTGAAAGAAAATTTACCTAGATCTAGGGCAGCTATAGCAAATAGTTCCATACCCCTGTTCCCAGAGAGTTAATTTTAACATAACAGCTTTGACAATTTCCTGTCGTTTTCTACAGTTTTACAAAACTACAGTTACATTCAAAGGAAGGCAGTGATTTGAGGGTGAAGGCTATAATTGAAAACATCCTTAACATACAGCCTTGCACCTAAAACATCTATCAGTATGCATTTGCTACTGGAGGAACTTCAGTTATCTGCAGAGTCAGGATTCATACCTACTTTTCTTCCCTTCTTTGAAAAAAATACATTCTACCTGTAGTTCCCTTTTATTGGCCACCTGAAACGAGATGACACATGCTGGGCTAAGCTTTTACATCAGAGCTGTTAAAGCAGTCTGTGGAAAACGGAATAGTCCACAGTATGATCCCCCTGCTTCATGTATACCTTCAGTACGGTATATGAGCCCTAGTTTCCACTGATCAGCCTCTTTCACTCCTTCATGGTTTACAGACCAGGCTGTGTTTCTGTTCTCTTTGAAAAATCTGGACGATTCATGCTTCCAAAAGATTAAGACACTCAATCACTGGAAGGAAGCTTTTTTCTGCTTCCTGGAATCTGGGATGGGCACATCGAATCCCATTCCTGTCATAGCCTTACGCCCGAGTCAGCCCGGCGACGCTAAATTAAAACCGCAAAAGAACCGCGATGGGGAAACTTCAGCTTCGGAGAGCAGAGCTCTGCTTCCTGCTCGGGCTCCAGCGGGGGCCGGGGCGCTGCAGGCGGGGGCCCTACCTTCAGGCTGCGTTGCCACCCTCAGCGGCGTGGAGCTCTCCCCCAGCCCATTCCGGTTGTGCGCTGCCACGCGGAAGGAGTACTTCGTGTCCGGCATGAGGCTCTGGATGGTGACCTGCAGCTCCCCGGGCCGGGTGGTGTTCTCGATCCGCTCCCTTTCCGGGAAGGAAACAGCAGGTCACCCTCCCGTCGGGGGGAAGACAACACGGCACCACGGGGCGCCTGCCTCCGCAGGCCGGCAGCACACAGCACACACGCAGGGGCCCTGCTGGTACTCACACAGCAAGGAGGGCACAGAGCTATTACGGTTAAATCAAATCTGGACAGCAAGCTTGTACAAACAAATTCACTAAGCTCAGGGAAAGGGTATAAATACTCAAAGATGTGAGTGAAATGAATTAGTTGACATTTGCCACCTTTGACAAATTTTTCCCAAGTGTTGTTATAGAGCTCAGTAATCTTGGCTTTCATTCCAACAGCTTTTAATTGAAGCCTTAATTAACTCAATTTGTTGAATTAAATCTGGTTTCCAAGCTCTTTATAAAGCTACATATTTCAAGTTCATTTTAAACCTTTACAGGCAGCTTGAATTCTCTATTTGAAAGCTGAAAACAGTTTACAAATGTTCAATCAAATAAATTAGTAGTTGAGGGTTTCAATTATAATTAATTTGAACAAAACCCAGTAGAGGACCATTGGGAGACCCTGTGGGATATGCACAGACATACAGTACATACATACAAATCTAATGAACAGTCACCTCGCATTCTGTGTCATCTGGGTGCCACCCTGTGAAGAACCAGTCATTGATATTCTGACGGAGTGGCCACATGTTACAAGGAATGTTATAAGCTAAAGAAGGTCATTCAGCCCATCTCGCCCATCTACTTGATAGTAGCTAATTTGTGCAAGAAACTCATCCAGCTGTTTCTTGAAGGAAGCCTGAGTATGGGCTTCAACAGCACGGCTGGGCGACTTGTTCCACACACCCACAACCCTTTGTGTAAAGAAGCGCCCCCCCCCCGCCCGGGCTCTGTTTAGAACTGACAGAGGTGCACTGAAACGACTGATGTCACACCCACCTGCTGGTGCCCTCCAGGCTGTAGAAGACAGAATAGGTGATGTCATCTCCGTGGGGCTCAGCGGGAGGGCGCCAGGTCAGCTTGATGAAGCGCGTAGAGACCAGCGAGGCCACGACGTCACGGGGCGCGGAGGGAGTGGGGCCGCCGCCGGAGCCTGGCGCTACATGGTCAGTAGTGGCACTGGTCAGTGAGGTGGGAGGGGGTGTTGGGATGGCAACATCTTGGCAAGTGCAGAGGAGTGAGGGGAAAGGAGGAGGAAAAGGGGAGGGCAAGTACAACATCGGGGAAGAGGGAGGGAGGGAGGGAGGGAGGGAGGAGGGCAAAAACAACGGAAAAGAAAAACAAAACAAAAACAGAAAAGAAGTAACAAAAAGGAAGCCACAACAGAAATAAAACACAAAATCACGATGGAATCACCACACAGGAAATGAAGGCGAATACAAAAGGGTTATTCAACTGCAGGCTGACATGCAAGCCTACTATCGGGGGAGGGACATGTCACTGCAGAACCGCCGGGAGGATGTTGTATGAGGGGCAGCATTCAACTCTGTAGGCATGGGAATGTTCCAGTTCACTTCACAGTGCTGGTTGGACTTCCAGAGGAACAACCAGATCCTCAGGGCCTCAGATAACACACAGGACCAGCGGGAGGCCCTGACCAGTCTCAGCTCTTGGCCAGTGTGGCCTGTGGCAGGGAGTTCTAGGTAATTCTGACAGCAATGCTGAACTGAAACCCCTAATATGGCATGTCTACAAAATACACACATGACCGCGCACTGCAGTAAGTTATCGCTGCTCAAAGCAAAGACAGGCTTCCCCGTGATGGAGACGATTTCTCCACCTTCTAGGGACACATTGAGGAAAGAATAAGGAGCATTTCGCTTCAACTGAGAATAATTAGCAGCTTAGCCTTGTGCCCCTTATTCTGGGGAGGCTGAGCGGCAGTCGGAGACTGTAAATGCAAACCGGCTTGCTTGGACCACAACCCAGGAGAGCTCCAAATGAGATGAAGTTCCAGCCGTGCTGTTCTGCTTAGTCTCTCGGGCCGTCCCCAGGTTCTGGGGTACCGGCAAAGAGGAAGAAACTCAACAGACTCATCTCGCAGCAGCGAGGAGACTCGGATGGGACAACCAGCAAGGCCAGCTGCACAGAAAACTGGTTGGTCCATAAGTGAACGGCAAAGTATTTAAGACATGAATGAAATGAGACACCTTAATGACTCCCTATTAGTGCACATTCTTCTTTTCTGAAAGGAATAATAAGAGCCCCTACCCACCTGCACTCACCATGCCTACGCACAGATCTAGATCAAACTCAGCAGTAGTATTTTTACTACAGCTTTTTCTTTTTTTTAAGGGAACCCAGCAGACTGAAAAATGATCCCCATGCAGCAGCAAAGGGTAATCCATTATCGTCATTTACAATGAGCAGGGCAGGTACAGAGCTGCTGAGCACAATAATAGAACTGAGGGCTTTGTAAGTCAGCTGTGAAAAGGCCAGCATATTAAGACGAGGTAGGGGGGAAGAAACTCATTGGAACAAAACCAGATGGGAGAAAAAAACAGATATGAAGATCAATATTCCCCATACAGAACAATTCACATCGACGTAAAATAATTAAAAGGCCAGCTAAAACTACCAGCTTTGTAGTATTTTTACTGGAAATGAATACGGCCAGTGACCTTCACAAATCAAAACACCGAGAGCGCTACAAGAACTGCATAAAATGAGACAAAAACAAAACCCTTTTCTACCAGGGACAAAACAGCATTACTATTGCATCTCCAGCACAGGAAAACTGCATTACTCCATATTCTTTGTTCACCTGAGCATTACAAGTACAAGCAGTGGTTAGGGCTCTGGATTCCTTATGGGAAGGTTGTGGGTTTGCATCCCAGGTGAGACAGTGCTTTTGTACGGTTGAGCAAGACACTTCACTCCACTAAAATGCCCTTTTTTATGAATGGGTAAAAACCCAAGCTGCTCTGGATAAAATATTATTATACAATGAATTAAATTAAAAACAAGAAGAATAAAACTTGAAACTGGGGAGGTGTAATCTGTCATTCCCTGTAGTTTCATGGCGTTTCCTAAGAGCCCCCCCGACACTGTCGATGGGGGGAGGAAACACACATTTGGGTTCAAAGAAGATGCCAGGTTTGTGCATTCGACACTGTTACACTGTGGACCAGAGACTTCTGTAAGCTCTCTCATCTCACCCTGATATAAATAGATAAGAAACAAATTTAAACTGCATTTAAATTCCCTCAAAATAAATTTCCTTCTTAACCTACAGACGGCCTACAAGTGCAGCTAATTTTCTGTTAACACACCAAATTTATATTGATATAAATTCCATTTCTGTGGAGGCCTATTTTCCGTATCAAAGGCTTTTCTTCAATGACACAACCCATTAAGCAGCATTTAAATCATCTATCTGTTTCGGCAATTAAGGGACTCTGGGAGGAAAGTTTGCCAGAGACTGGGTGTTTGCCAGACCAAGGAAAGCTAAATGTATGTAATTTCATCCTTCTCTTTCAAATGATTTAAAGAAGCTTTAAGTGATGCATTCACACAAATGGTACACGTCCACAGGAGGTTGGTGAGTGAGCATGAATGCAGACACCTACACACTATTCATGGGGAATGCAAACCAGACTCTGCCTGACAATCATGATTCCCACTCTTCGTTAAGGTTAAGACCCAGATCTCCAAAGCTGCCACTCCACTTCCTGCTCCTCACAGAGCCGCCTTTCCATTTGAAAGCCTAGCCTTCTGCTCATTAAGATGTCTATACCGTATGTGGGAGGGAAAATAAAAGGGAAAGTCTTCCCTTCAAGCTGCAGGTTTTCCTATGCCTGTGCTATAACAGGCAGCTGCTCGACTGGTCTTGTCAGACTAAGCTTAAAGGATCTGATTTAGGATTACCCTCACTGAAGATTTTTGGTTGTTTTGGAGAACAAATCGAGAGGCTCGGTGGAAATGAATAAAGCACGCGGGAAGACAAAGCTGAGGCTGAACTTCCTGAGCGGGAGGTGATCGTGAAAGCTCACAACACCATGTGACTAACAGCTGGCATCACGCCACCTGTCCTGTGCCAGATAGTGACAGGGCGCTACCGTGCAGGATGCGTGTTTCTGGATTGAGCACGCACCCATGACATGAGATCTTACAACGAGCTGAAATAACACGTTCCCAAGACAGAGGGCTCTTATCTTTCCTCCACAGGGAATTACCTCTCTGAGGCATTTCAGCATCAGAGTCAAGCAGCTCAAATGATCATCAGCATTACCTGCAGGCTAATTTAAATGCAAATGACAGGAATGGCAACTCTCCTCCTGATCTTCTTCCATTAGAAACCTCCAAGGCTGGAAGACAAAGTGCTCCGTGGTCCACCTGAGACAGGAGTTCTGCCTTTACCTGACTGTGAGAAATCAAACTAGCTACAATAATCCTCACATTAATCCTCACATTGCAGGGGATAACCAGCAAAAGGCAGCTCTTTACAAAGCAGGAGCAGTGAAAAGTGGCTCAGCTTAATTGGCCTTCAGAGCTCTTTGATCAGAATAGAAGGGTCCAATTTACACTGGCAGATCTTTTTGGAAAGAAGCTCATTTGAAGACAAAGCTTGCTCTTTCTTCCTGGATGTCTCTCCTGCTGCTCCAGTGATACATGTATGCAAGCATAGGGTACAGTAGGGCATGTACAAGTACAAACAACACTTCCACTGCACTTTACTGGTCTACAAGAGTACATCTAGGGTTTCATAGCGGTGTTCCAAGTTAAACCTCTGCAGTCATACCACCATGTAAATGGTAGAAAAGGGACAATAAAAAGTAATGAAGAACATTCTCTTATTATTAAAGCAACATCTAAACAGAAATCCTTAATTTACGGAAAACAGGGTTTCAAAAAACATGCCACAGATTAGTCTGTGTTGCCTTCATACTATCATCACGATGATGGATGAAACAATTTAAAGCCGTCATTTTATTAAACCACCTGCACTGTAACGGATTTTCTGGAGGTTAGGATTTCCTGCAACACAGGCAGGTGGTTCTTAGAATCAAGAGAACGACATGTTGGTGTTCTTCACCCACCAAACAATCCCGAAAGAAGAACTACTTGAACTGGAAGCTGTGGTGGACTCATGGCAGCTATATGACATCTAATCGTGTCCACCCATCTGCCGCCAAGTCCAGTCCAGCAGCAGGGCTGGGCAACAAGCAAGGGGAGCCACGAGACAGGACATCCTCAGGAAACTGACTCCGAAATCCAGACCGCCCAGGAGAACCACCTGGGATCGTTCCTAAAGGGGGATGCCTGGAATGTCTGTTGGGTTCACCTTAGATAAACATCCCAAAGCCTCAAACACGCAAAGAAAACAGGACCATTTCAAAATCAGCACTGCAATAACAAGTTCATCTCCCTCTTTCACAAGCCACCTCTCCGAAAGAAACTGACAGGCTCTGTGGAAAAGCAGCACCTGATAAAGTAAGGTCTAGCTGAACTTGGGTGCTTGCATCACTATGAGGCTTGAAAACATCCTTTCATACTAACTCCCACCTCTAAGCCGCACTCAGCCCTCTCTCAAGGTCACGGGATAATGATGGTGGAGGGTGAATTATGTAGACTAACACTGATACTATCATAACTGTGTTGGATGAATTCCCAATTTTTCTCCTCTTAAAAAAAATCAATGCAAAGAATGGTTATCAAGGTGACAAATAACAACCATTTGAAAGACAATATGCAAAAGAATAATAGCACTACCTGATTTTAATATATAAAAATATGCTTTCCTTTCCACGATGGTTTTCACAGTAAAGTGGATTTTGTTGATTCCAAATTTAAGTTTTGTTAGAATAACAATTTATTGTGGCAGTTGTGTGAGGGTTAATTAATAATATTAGGGGCATATCCTATTGGGATAATGCCAGCTTGGCTTACATCAAACTCCCTGTGCCTTTGTCTAGAATATCTTTTCATGTTTGTTGCATATAAGGAAAAGTGCAACTAGAGCATTTATTCATGTACCGACACTTTTCTTAGTCATCCTTCACACTGACTGGAAATGCTGCCCAAACCAATCTTACTTATTTGCATTAACTCTTTTCTGCTGGAATTAGTGGTGTACCACAGGGGTCAGAACAAGGTCCACTGTGCTTAATGTAACGCTTGAGTTTTAAAATAAACATCATTTAACATAATTTAATCATT